ATAAGTTGTAATATTATGTTTATGTTGTATTAATATTAATCTCAGGATGCATTTCCTTGAGTTAAATAAGCTGCCAGAAAAACACTTCAGTTTACCGTGTTCATTCAGCTCTTCAGCTTCAGCACGCGCAGCTCAAACGGCTGCTATTTAAAACAGTGGTATTAATTTGTTACTTTTTCAAAATCATTGATACATTATTAATAATAACAACCACTTTTATTTTTCTCTTATTATTTTCATCAACAATATGGTTTAGTAATTAAAATAATTTAATTACTGTCCGTGCAGAGGCTATTCCGTTTTATTGATCTATGGCGCATTCATTTTGATTCTTTACACGTGTAATGATGTCCAGTGACTTGTTTGCATTATTTATGCATTATTTTATTTATTTGTAAGACTTTTTTATGACTAAATTTGGTAATGGGAGAGTAAAATTATTTTTAAAACGTACACCGTTCAAACTAGGCTGCTTATGTTGAAGTGTTTGGGATGTGGCTTTTAATGATGAGACCTTTTTTGTAATCAGGCTCTCAAAAAGTATATAAAAATTTGGATATAGATTTATCGGCCAACATATCGGTTATCGGCTTTCAAAAATAAAGAATTATCGGTTATCGGTATCGGCCAAAATTTTCATATCGGTGCATCCCTAATTCAGCACTTAGATAAGTCATAGAATTGTTGGGCAAACAACCAGACCACTAATTATAGAAAAGCCACTGCAAGCATTTCAGGCAACACTTTTTCCATTAAAGTGTTGTAATGTTTAATAAGAGACACACACACATACAGTCAGCCATTACACAATGCAATAACATAAATTGTGGCCTTTGGCTTTGCCTACAGGAGTTGCTTGGTTGCTCACCCTTTAGCAGACACGTTTTTTCCAAAGCAAATTACAGGATACGTTTTAATGCGACAAGTGTAAGTCATATTTCTTCATTAAATGCTCATTATTCATTTCTGACAAAGCGAGAGCTGATACATGAAAACGGATAACTACTATTTGGTTAAAAGTTCTACTTTTACTTCCACATGGACTCAATTCAAAACCACAAGTGACCAAACTCTCGTGCAAAGACATACGCTTTCAATCTTATTGTGGAAATATCACCTATTTAGAGGAACAAACAGAAGACAAAGATAAAACCATAAAAATGTGCTGTGGTGAATCGCATTTAATAACATCATGAAGCCTTAAACATATGTATAAATATTTTCTAATATTTTAATAAATATATGCATGTATATTAGCTAAAGGCTTTCACTTGAATTGAGGAACGTTTTTGTCTATTTTTTGACTAGTTTGTTTATCCCATTAACAAGGCTTTTCAAACCGAGTCATAGGATATGAGTCAGCAATCAAATACACAGCGATGACTGATGGCAAGGTGGTTTTCTTACCAGCTCAGGGTGCATTAGATTTCATTTTCCATCAGCTGGTTTTATAGTTAAGACTGTGTCACCACTGCCAAGCGTTTTGTAGAAGTGAAAAGGCATGTGGTTTGAAACGTCCAAATAAGTCAGATCCAAACTCTCTGCTTATCTATAATTCAACTAGAAACAAACTCATGTAAACTGCACATGGAACGATCTAACCTCTGCAGTCAGTATCCTTGGTCTGTTGTAAACAAGTAGATGTGCATACCTACATTACTGAAATGGCGTGATGTAGTACGAGCTGTAGTCAAACACTTATTATACGCCGAGACATGCCGATCATTAAATCGCCTTACAGCACACTTTGGAATGCATTAGAGCTATTAAACTATGGCCTCGCTGTGTACTTTGTCTTAAAAAAATTTTTTTTAAATAAGTGTGCAACTTTCATCATCCACAAGCAGCTCTTACATCACTCACTGGAACCAAGAAAACATATCAAGTGTCACTGCAGTGCATATCTTTATTGTTATTCATTGATATGGAAATTAGTTGGCAGTAAACACACTTGCATAAATGTACTTGGTCAATTAAAAGTGCACAATAAACCTAAATCAACATTTAATCCATTATATCATGCCGCAATGACGGGTGTGGCTAACAGGAAATAACACGTCACGCAAGTTAGTGCGTGTATTTCACCTTGGCTACAATATAACCTATTTACTTGCTGCATCATTAAATTATGGTTTGCGCATATTATGAAGCACATCATTTCTAAAAGTAACTGTCTGAAAATACATAATTGAAGCATTAAAGTCAGGCCAAAAACAAACAGCCTTGGACAGACATTGAAGCCTAACCATCTTACTGTCATGTGATACTAAACTTTAATGAAATGCAGACCGTATCTTCTATTTCAAGGCTGACAACAAATGTAATCTAGTAATCCAAACTGAACTGCAGAAGTACAATGGAAATACAGTTTATCATGTGTCATAGGCACACGTACAAAAATAAATCTAACTATCTGAGGTCCAAAATGTATAATAAATAAAATATTAATTTCAAGATAGTGATAAATAATACAAAACCGTAAAACTATAAAAATAAGTAGGCCCATTTAAAAAAGTCAGTAAATGGAATCAATTGGAAATGCCAACAATTATAATAATAAAAAAATGATTAAGGCACGTGTGCCAAACTGTTACAACACAACTCTGTCAATATGGAAAATGATGAAATATGAATGCCTGACTCCGACTCAGAGCCATATTGGCAAACAGATAGTGTATTGTCCAACTCTGTTTTAGCTTCAAGCTAGTATTTCTCAACCATGGAATGATGATAACTCCAGGGTCTGTCTGAACAGGAAGACACGTACTAAGATAATGCAAGTCTCAGACTTCATACTTCAAAACTCTTCAAATGATCCCGACATCCTGTGCGGCATCGTGCTGACAACTTATCTGCTATGGATCATCATCACAATTTCACGGAGAACTAGAAAAAACAAAATCAAATGAAGATTCGAGATGTGAGAAAACGAACAAACAACGAATGAAACGCTCTGCTACAAAAGCCTGCCACTCCTCCCTTGGTGTTGTCACCGCAAGTCCTCGACAAGCCTTTAAGGAAACGACAAAGGAAGTGTGCACAAGTCCAAGCTCTTTCCGTTTCACGCTAGAATAGATGGTCCTACGAAGTACACACTAATCTGACCTATCAACACAGAGGAGCAGAACGTTTTGCCTCCACTGTAAATGTCCGGAGCTATCCTGCATCAGATAATAACACACAGACCCTAAAACTTTGTTTCTATTCAACATTCAATTCCTAAATCATTCAAGATAAGCAAGAAGCACCCTGTTCTGTTTTAAACAAAACACATTGTAACCTTCAAATACAACCAAGGTTGAAAGACATTGCTGAACATGAATGCGGCAACCACGCATACAGAAAATAAAAAAATACAAATGAAATTCAAATTAACTTTATTTTTGAAGTTACTCTAGCACTTTAAAACTGTACATTATTACTGTTTGACCGCTTTAGTCTGCTATAGAGTCATCTGCCCTAGCAGAACAGAAGAAAGCTTTGGGTGTGGCAGGAGAAGGGGGATGGGCTCCAAATGTTCCTCTGATGAAAAATCTGCTCACAAACATTTTTAAAAGATAGCTTAAATCAGATAAATTGCAAAACAGCTTTTTTGGATGTCAACACTCCATACGCATCTCCAAACTATCAGCACTTATCTGCAACTCCCCCCTTTTTGTCCTTCTCACTCTTTTATCTATTCCTTTCATTCTCTTATTCTGTTATATAACAAAATTTCAGTCATCCTACTGCAAAACAGCTCCATAACTAAAGTCATGCAGCAGTTGGGCGTGAATAAAACACCTCATTCTTTCTTCTCCATAGCAAGCCTTACTTTCTCCCTGTGTGCTTCAAACCTGCTTTCAATTAGTACGTCTTTCCAAACCACTACATTCCATTACCCCCTCCTCCCTTCACCCCTCTTACTCACTCACTACCCACACCCTGGCCAGGGCTCCAGGTTAAGAAAATCAAGGCAAAATATTAAAGGATTTGCAAACTAAATTAAAACGATCACATTTTATAAGGCTAACAAGAATGATTCAAACAAATTAACATTTCATTATATATATATATATATATATA